GACGTTTCGAACACAATTTATTGTTCATAATCATATCAATTTTTGTCACACGACTTCGAGATTTGATTTTTATAGTTTTCTCTGTCTTCTCCTATTTGTTGTATGGGCAGTAGAATTTTCCATATATCTGGGACAGGTGTTGAATCATTCCTATTACATGTATTTGCGGTTGATTCGATAAACAAAGCTTCTGTTTTACACATATATTAGCTGTTCCTTTGAGTTTCAGAAACGCTTAGTAATAACGGACGCAAAAACCAAAACACCGATCTGCCGCTTGTTATTTCTTTATTGTTACACCAACATATAAAAGGAATAAACGAACTAAGGTCTGAAAACAAATGTTACAATAATAAATCTCTGTATTACTTCTGACGATGTTTCACTCTTCTTTCTGAACAGCGACCGATGAGACGATGACTGTCGTATTGATGCCTCCGCGAAAATCGGGGAAGTTGATTTTGAGCAAACAACCAAGAATTGATCGTTCAATCTTCAACTCCATTGACACTCCCCGGCAAAAAACGGATCCAACCCTTTTTTCCTTCACGATCAATGCACGTTGACTTGGATGCCATTGCGAGAACCTGGGTCACACGGACAGGGCTGAAATGGAAAACAAACAGAAAAGCCAACACACCACAAGCATACTCACAGCACAATCTCACACATCAATGACGACCTGCGCCTTCCAGTTAAAGGTATCCTCTTGACATCTTGCAACACAATCGCCGCTTGCTAGAATGACTCTTGCAGAATGCAATGTGACCATAGCACCACCTCACTCTACGCACATCCTCTTATCTACTCACTACCAATTACCTCTGCAATCGCTTGTCACTCATTCTACCTCAGTTCTAGTAGCGGTGACGCATGCGAGCCACAGTCGTTTACACTCTTTCTCCCCGGCGTGTCGGACCGCAGCTAACAATTGTCTCCGTATGCATTTCATTCTCAGCAATAGCATAGCCTCCCCGGCGTATACGACCCATCTGCTGTCCTTAGCATCAATCAATTCATTCACGGATGTAGAAGACTCGAAACAACTGAGCGACTTTATTGCATATCCCCTCAATGACGCTTGTTGCTATGTTGCTATTGGTTTCAAGTGGCCTTGGTTTTGGGGAAGATTTAACTGATGTAATATTGCTATTTCGGGTGAGGATATACGTTATAACCAGGTGTTATCGCGCAGCGACATCGGTTACCGCGTTCACGGCTACAGGCGTTATAATCGCCTATTTTTTGGGAAATAGATCATATTTGACTAGTTTTAGACTTCTGGAGCCACACGGCATTATTTTGTTCATAGTAAAGCGTAAAATTGTATATTATAGCTCGGACGGATTATCAATGAAGAAGTCATCCTTTTGAAGAAAGTTCGCATAGAAAGAGTATTATTTGCATTATAGTGCGTTGAGGGTTTGTTTTTCGCAAGTTGTTTCAAATATTAAGGTCGTAAATACACTGCAGGCAATGGCTGTTGTCATTCCAGTGAATCTATGAGAATCTGGCCTGTGAAAGAGAAATAGCATGCAGACATAGGTTAGATGTGTGTTTTGAACATGTCAAACACTTCTGTTATCATCCGGGATGACTGAAATATTCCGTAACACATCGACGACATTATGTGATGAATGAGACAGGCTGCCGAATTTCCTGGTGATTATATTTATTTTGATGAAGTTCCTAGTTAAAAGTGCTTGGGTGAAGATGTGATAATAGTTTAATTGACATTTGCACATGGAATTCCAGAAGGCCTTAATTGCTCAGTGCATGAAATGGCATCAGAGTATATTGACATCAGTGTTCATCGTGTCTCGAAGAATAGTATAAATAGTCCTTCTCAAATGTCAGAGTACTTAAAATGAGTATCAGCTTTCTGTTGATTAGTAGCTAGCAGGTGTGTCATACAACTACTACACCTGTTACATAGATTATATCAATCTTAATAATTATTTTGTTTCAAATCACTAAAATATTCTGAGATTCTTAATGACTTAATTATGGCTATGAAAGATGCACTTATAGCCCTTATATTTCAAGCAGTTATTACTAAACAAGTTATCTGTAAGCATTTTGTGATGTTCTGGTTACAATGCTTGAGTGTATGGGGTTACTGCCTGCTTCTGTGAGTTAAGGGATATTTGGTGAAAATCATGATACAATGAAGGTTCCTATAGACTCACTATGAATACTGCAAACTGTTGATAAGAAACTGCCTCAAAGGAAAAAATGCCGAACAGCTAGGAAATACTACCTCAGTATCGATGGTTATTACCTTTTGGATTTGTAAATCATCCTTCAAAAGCTCAGATTAACGGCAAACCATCCATGGTACCCCACAGGCCCTACAGAAATTTGTGAGAGATCTTACACGTCAGGTTGCCTTAGGAATTGTAAGGTTGCAGAAATTTCAATTTACCTGTCACTGAAATATCACTTATCTACTTCACGATGGTCTTTTCGTTTGTGCACTATTACACTACATTTTATCTTAACTGGATATGCCTTTATTAAATCTGAGACTTACTCTTTGTGCCTATTAGTTGCTTGCTTACAGTCTAGTTGCCTTTATTAGAAACACAACAGCACCAGTGTTTGAACAAAGCTGTATTTTCATGGAAAACGTCATATTTTCTATGCTTACACCGATATGGTTTGCATTAAACATTGCAAATGTATACCAACATTCCAAGGACATAGCACTTAACCAAATGTACAGTGTTCATTGTTAAGGGTTTACAATCTAAATCTTATCATAACCTGTTCTAATTATTATTATTTGCTTGCTGCTATCCTTTAGAAGATGAACAATATGTGTGACAGTAAAAACCACAGAAGAATGCTGTCATGAACGAAGAATGAGAAAGGAGAATGAACCATTTTCAGCAAAGGTAGGCAAATGCAAAGCGTTCAACTTAAAATTACTCCTTTCTTGCTTCAGCAATTTAAAAAAACACTTTGTTTACTTATTTGCAGATATCCGGTAACGTCAGTCAACCCGGTCACAGCGATTCGATATTGGCCCAATTATTACGACAAACAACTGCGTAAAGACATTTACTTGTTATTATTTTTCATTAAATATATTTAACATCATGCTTACCAGACCTTTCTTGTTCTCTCTGAGTGTACCCATATTTGTCATGATGACTAGATGCAGGCATCACTTATCAATGAGACCCGACGAAGTAATTGGTGGCATATTTCAGTGTAGTGTAAATGTGACTACGATTGCTACAGCTCAACCTATTCAATTATTCGTCTCGTGTACACTTCACCTTACACTGTAAGTTAACACCCATAATCATATGAATCGACATCATGCTTTAAGTGAAATAATGGTAATGAACTACTTTTGAATACACTTTACCTTATAAGAAATCGACTCAATTGCAGTGCTTAAGTTCATTTCTTATTTTTCAAATACTGAAGTATTTTTGTACTTGGTCCCTACAGACTTCCCTATGACTAGGAGACGTAATCGCGTAACTTTAGGCAGATTTTTGGGCTTGACTTAAGTACTTATAATTCACTACTTATATCGATCGATAGTGTTCCTACAGAATTACACCTATATACAGTAACGCGTTCATATCCTAGGGAGTACCGGTCTACCATGCCGTATTCCCACCGCATGCAGAACAAATACAAAGGCACAAGAATATTAGATAGAAAATTTTATTTTACTGCAACGCAAACAAGTTTATTTACATGTATTATCTGAGCACAGTCAAAGATGAAAGTCTTCGTTTGGAAAGTATCTCCCATTATTCGACGGAAACTGTCCAGTGTCCGAAGTGCGTCACCTTTGAATTCTTCCAAAATTCAAGCAAACAGAACTCTACGCCCATATGCAAATCTATCCGGTATCACAAACTGTAAAAAAGAATATCTGCATGGTTATACATGAATGAGTGAACTTACCTCCACTTGTTGTATGCAGAATCAATTTCTAAAACTGATTATGCAAATGTATCCGATTATAAGTCGTAAAACGCTCATCACTGTTTTTCGGATGCCTTTGTCCGAATGCAGCTACATCTGCTTCCACTGGATTTAATGAACTGACTGACCTCATTGCGACCCATCATTCCTGAAAGTGATACAGACTAAATTCACTTACATAAATTAAGCATTTACATAATTAACATGCATGAACATATTTGAGTTAAGTATAAGCTAAGTTTAGTCTTCCTAATTTACACTTTTTTTGAAATGTGGAGCACGTTAATGGTGCAGAAAATATCATGAACATTACGCATAAATAATATTATTAACTGCCAGTAATTGTGCCATCGAATCATACTACAAGAATGCATTTGATAATACTTTGTTAGTGGTCTGAGGGACAGAAATACTAGACCGAAACATACGGGCTAGATGAAAGTCTCACAAAACTGTCCCACTAAAATACAATGTCCCACTCGTGGATTTCCTATACGCGTGTGAACGTATCCACATACTGGTATGCGGAAAAGTTCGTCACTGTTAGCAATATATGAAGTTCACGCCTTTTGAAAGTCTTCTAATGCTTTTGTAGCTTCCTACATATGTGCTGCTTGCGCTCGCGCTGATTACCTGCGATGAAATTCTAGAAAAAGGGCTCGTTAACGAAGCACATTATTACAACAGCTTGTGACAGCTAAGTCGCAAGAAACACAGGATACCAGACTATGTGAGTGAGAAATCACGAAGTAGGAAATACTGTACCTAAAAACACAACTCAAGAAATGCATTGGCACCCACGGGATGGTAGTCACTGATAGGAACCATAATGCCTGACCAGTTTCCAGGGAGTTTATAGCGAAAAGAGAAGTGTATCTGTGTAAAAAAACAGTGAAACAATGTTAAAATAGTCAAAAATTACATCTATCTTTGTCAAATTCGCTTGCAAACGGCGCATAACACAACCACACAAAACCTCTTACGATACGACCTACAAAGGACAAATCAAATATCCAATTGACCGCCACTGTTCTAGCCAATGAAAGACGAAAAAACCTGAGTCGCGGGAAATATAACCACGTTATAACGTATATCCTCACCCTGCTATTTCGTAGACATAACTCAGGCTCATAGGTGAAAAATTATAATCCTGGTGTCAATGGAGTTGAAGATTGAACGATCAATTCTTGGTTGTTTGCTCAAAATCAACTTCCTCGATTTTCGCGGAGGCATCAATACGACAGTCATCGTCTCATCGGTCGCTGTTCAGAAAGAAGAGTTAAATATCGTCAGAAGTAACATAACGATTTATTATTGTAATATTTGTTTACAGACCTTAGTTTTCTTAGTTTGCTTAGTGATACTTGATCTATATGCTGGTGTAACAATACATAATACTCAAGTCAACAATTGGTGTTTTGGTTTTTTCGTCCGTTATAACTAAGCGTTTCTGAAAACTCAAAGGAACAGCGTGGGCCCGAGCGTAGCGAGAGCTGGGCATTACCGGTTTATGAGACGGTAGCTGACAGTTTCTGACGATAGAAACAGATCTGGCGGATTGAAACAGTTGGTGAAAGTTTGTATAGTCGCCGTTCAGTTTTCCTGGTGCCGGTCAAGTCCTCTTTGAACAAGCAATATCTGGAACTTTTTTGGAATTGGGTCAAGTTCAACAATGCCTGGGTCAAAGAAGGGACAGAGTGTCTTGGATGCAAACAGGAAAGTAAGTCATGGTGACTTGTCTGTTAATTGTAACGATGTGTCTGATGTTAAACATGATATGGTTGATGGTACTGTTTCGCCGTCCAGGGATAATAGGAACATCAAACTCCCCAGGTTTGAACCACGATGTTTTGATGGAAACCCGGCTGATTATTTACAATTTGTAAAGGAGTTTGAGATCATGTTGAGTGGTTTTTTATTAAATGATGAATTGAAATTGATGTATTTGATGAGATATTGCACTGGAGATGCTGCAAGAGCTATACAGTGTTGTAAGTTTATGAAGCCAAAAGAGGGCTACGATGAGGCTATGAGCATATTACGCCAAAGGTTTGGAAGACCCTCGATGATTGCAGGGAAATTATTCGAGGCTGTTAAGGGTAATGGTGGTCAATTACAGGATGACTCCCAGGCACTCACTGAGTTTTTAGATAATTTGCTAATTTACAAGAATGGTATGATTTCGATGAATCGAATGAGTGATCTCAACTCGAGTTTTATACTAGAAGTAATTGCGAGACGCCTACCTACTCGACTGCAAAGGAAGTGGGTGAAGATAAGCTCCCGTATGGAGGATGAGGGTATCGAGCCAAAGTTTGATGATATCCTGAAACTGGTAAATACTAGTGTCAATCAATCTATGAGCAAGTTCGCCAGTCTGTTAGATCTCACCCCTAGAATAGAGCAGTCTGAGGGTAAAACGCACTCATTGATGACGAGTAGGCCTCAGAGAGGTGGATATCGAGAAAGCTCCATGATGTCTAGTAATGCATATAGACCTAGTGAGTGTAACAGGTTTCGTAATACATCCTCAACAGATAAGTTACAAGATGCAAGACAAACACGGTTTTGTTTCACACGTGTGCAAGAGGTGCATACAGAAGTGAACTGTGAACCAGTGAGCAAGTTCAGTGATAAGCTAAGTGTAAACTCCAGGCCTTACTCCGAATTGTGTGACGATAACGTTGTTGTGAAGAAGTCTGTAGTTGCAACTGGTAAGCCGTTGCTGAATAGAGTGTCACAGAATAGAGTTACTGCTTCAGAGTGGAGTTCTGACTCCAAAAGTTTACAAAGTATAACTAGTCAGAGTGAAGATGTAAAACCTTTAATGATTTGTGAGGAGGAACCAAAATTGTCTACTTCTGTTATTAAAGAGTTTGAAAATGATGAACTTGACGGTAAATTGGATATATGTGATAATGATCATGATAGTGCAGATTTGTCTTTGGTTGATCATTATGAGATGCGGGATATGCCTACTACTGCTAAGTTAAATAAAGGTTCTGTACAACTACAACGTGAAGTAGAATTGAATGCAGATGCAGTTCCAGAAGGTGTGCATACTTGTGAGACAGTCAGTGTAATTGATCAGCGTGTAGCCCACCTATCATCAGATGATAGTGCTAAACCCGAACTAGTAGTGAAAGACAGCAGTGGTGGTAATCTTGCAGTTGGACAACTATCTGAAAGCCGAAAAAGAACAGCTTCTGATCCACCACTAAGTTCATCACCTTGTGTCAATCAGTCATCGTTGGTGCTGTCATCCGCAGTGAGACAGACACCCATCAACTCAAGTATCTTGTGCAATGACTATGGTAGTATCAGTTCGTTTGAAAGGACGAATATCAATGGTCAGTTTAGTGTGGATAAGCCAAGTGTAAAGGAGAGAGTTATTGTTAAATTGACCTGCACGAATAAAGGCATTTCTAGTTTCAAGTTACTATTTGAATGTTATTATCTTTGGTGTAAATTACTCTGTTTCTATACTTGGTTGATGAGATATGGCGTGTGTATGTTGGTCATGTATATTCTACGATACAATGACATGAGCGGGTTACCGTTCAGATTTGAGGATATAGCTGATAGAAGGAAGTTAGCAAATGAACTCTGCGACGATTTTCCAACCTAGGGCGTCAACCTGAGAAGGGTTGTAGGCGTACTGCTGTAAGTCCTACAGTTCTTCAAGGGTAGTTTGTCGTGTCGGAATCCACAACATTTGATGTAGTCATTGTACATATGTTTGTGTTAAATAGTTGCGAGTTCCAATTATTGTAATTGTTGGTTAATCTTGTTTGTGTCCGGACATTCCACAACTTACAATCGTCAACCTGTGAAGGGTTGCAGGCGTACTGGTGTAAGTCCTGCAATTCTTCAAAGGAATTCAATCAAGACATGATCGGCGAGGTTGTTTGTACTGTTTGTATATATGTGTGGTGTGTTCTATCAATTGGTGTTTTTTGGATTCATTGTGTTTACTTGTTGTTTTCGTATCTTGTTGTTATTGCGTAATTTTGTAAAATTTTCGTCGTGATTACTTCTGAAGTTGTTTCTAGTCTTCTACGTCCATGAATGAATTGATTGATGTTAGAGACAGCAGATTGGTCGTATACGCCGGGGAGGCTAGGCTATTGCTGAGAATGAAATGCACACGGAGATAATTGTTAGCTGCGATCCCACACGCCGGGGAGAAAGAGTGTAAACGACTGAGGCTCGCATGCGTCACCGCTACTAGAACTGAGGCAGAATGAGTGACAAGCGACTGCAGTAGTAATTGGTAGTGAGTAGATAAGACGATGTGCGTAGAGTATCATGAGGTGCTGCTATGGTCACGTTGCATTCTGCAAGAGTCATTCTAGCAAGTGGCGATTGTGTTGCAAGATGTCAAGAGGAGGTCTCTGTCTGGAGGCGCAGGTTGTTATTGATGTGTGAGATTGTGCTGTGGGTATGCTTGTGGTGTGTTGGCTTTTCTGTTTGTTTTCCATTTCAGCTCTGTCCGTGTGACCCAGGTTCTCGCAATGGCACCCAAGTCAACGTGCATTGGTCGTGAAGGAAAAAAGGGTTGGATCCCTTTTTTGCCGGGGAGTGTCAATGGAGTTGAAGATTGAACGATCAATTCTTGGTTGTTTGCTCAAAATCAACTTCCTCGATTTTCGCGGAGGCATCAATACGACAGTCATCGTCTCATCGGTCGCTGTTCAGAAAGAAGAGTTAAATATCGTCAGAAGTAACATAACGATTTATTATTGTAATATTTGTTTACAGACCTTAGTTTTCTTAGTTTGCTTAGTGATACTTGATCTATATGCTGGTGTAACAATACATAATACTCAAGTCAACAATTGGTGTTTTGGTTTTTTCGTCCGTTATAACTAAGCGTTTCTGAAAACTCAAAGGAACAGCGTGGGCCCGAGCGTAGCGAGAGCTGGGCATTACCGGTTTATGAGACGGTAGCTGACACCTGGAATAAGGACAAGTTGTTCAGAAGGTAAGGAGGACATTATTTTTCAGTTTATTTGTGTATATACTATTGTGTATCGAGTTGCACTGAGTTCTTAGTGCATTAAGTTTTTTTTTTTTCATTTTCATTAAGTGTAGTAATGAAGAATGGAATTTCTTCCACATCAGTGTTATTTAATTGAAGTTTTAATCTTTGTAGGCCCTTGAAGGAATAAATTCGGCACGGAGAACTCCTGTGGAAACCGAAAGCACTTTTAGTTTACTAAATCTTACTGACTCCCTGTATAAATTTGATCTGTCAAGTGTTTATGTAAAGTCTGCTGGTGTATTCAGTAAAGTAAAAGTTGTAGTGCTTAACTCCTAGACTTGTTGTAGTCATTGGTATTGCCAGAATACTACTTACTCGTTTTATGCAGCCGAAGTATTCAATTCTCACTTTATTGAGGAAATAGTATATTGCCTGCAAAAGTAGTGCGTCAGTTTACGAGTTTCATCAAGCCTACAGAATGTTTTCTGTTCACTGAATACTGTTTGCGAATTATCCGAGAAAACACATTTCCGAGTGGGATGTAATACAAAGCTGAATTCTTAAACTGTCATCCTTATAACAGTTCAATTCAATCACACATATAATAATATGATAGTCTGTAATTGACTTCAAAGACTTATCAGGGAATATTCTCATCACCTTACGGTTTGCTGATGATATTGTCCACCTAGACTATGAGAAGTAACCCCTGATGCTGTAAAATATGAAAATAATACCGGTGTTTGATTATAGGTGTCCGCGTTCTATCTCATCAGTAAAGCAGTATAATATGGCGAGTGCTGTTGAGGTTACGCATAAATGTTTAGGTGGGGAGGGTTAGTTAGCCTTCAAGGTAGGGAAGCTGAATAGGTTGAGATGGCTAGAACACGTGCTGGCATACTAAGCCATCGCCTTCCTCCAGGGACAATGCTGACCAGCACATGTTAAGGTTTAAAATGCGTTTGGGTCGGTCAAATGAAAAAGTGATATTGGTTCATAAAATTGTTGACAGTCGGCTGGAAGAAATACCGGAGATGTGACTGCAAATCTTTGGTACTGGTACTGGTGCATTCACTCTGTGTAATCTCACATATCTATTCAACTCATGTTTTTCCTTGTCATTATTTATTCTCCCTCACATTTTCTCTCGTTAAACTTCCATTTAGTTTTATGTCTCTACCTTCGTGTGCTACATGGAATGTGGTAAATTAAACAGGTGGACTTCTCTGCAAACTCATACTGAAAGCTACTCAGAATGACAGTCTGTGCGTAACTAAATGCGAAACATTGATAAATGATCTCCAAAATTTCAACAAATGATAAGTGTAGTTCATAATCTTGCTCTTTGTCAAATGAAAAATTGATACCTTTCGGTAATCTCTTCTTCCACCCGGGACTCGTCTCCTACTTTGCAACTGGATTTGTGCTTTGTCACATTTGTACTTAGTTTTCGGTCATTCAGCATTCGCCGTTGCTGTTGACTCAGCGCCTAGATGACTTTAGTTGAATAAGGTTTCGATCGTGCAAACACGGGTCCTGGGCAGTTGATTGGTTGCATTATCATTTCTCAAATGGAATGCAGCATACTGTATATTAGGGTAAATCTTCCGCCTCGCCTGCTGGAGCTGGTGTTCCTCAGGGTATTGTTATCTCTCTTTTTCTTTTTTCTCTCTCGTCTTACATGACCTTTCTCTTTCTAATGAGAGCAACTTCGTCAAATATGCTGGTGATCTGACCGTCTCACTTCCTGTCATGTTACAATGTGACTGCAGCAAACTTAACTGCTTCCTGTCTGTAGTCTAAGGTACGTGGTCTTACGTTAAATCCCTCTAAATGTCAGGCAGCTAACTTTCCCCTCACTCATAAGCGTGAACTGCGAAAACTGTGTCGTTCACAAGATGCTTGTATCAAAGAGGACACTGAAACAGAAACTAAGTCTAACATAAAATACCTTGGAGTAAATCTATCCTCTGGTCTTTCTTGGTCATTCTATATCTTGTCGATTTCTAAGAAAACCTTCAGTCTAGGTTACCATGTTATGTAGTCAAGACAGTCAAGAATCATTCAACCTCTCTTTTTACAACTTGTTAACTCTTGCATTGGTCTTTACTGCTCCCCCTTATTCTTTCCTGAATTACTCAAAAACGACTATGTCGTATTGTGTAGGGTATTAAGGTTGTCATTAGGGCAAGTGGTGTACCATTTCGTCAACTCGTTAATGCATTAGTTAAAAGACATCTAAACTCATGCGAGAAATGGTCTAAATCTATACTGTCTAACCCTCAACACCCCTTCTATTCTCAGCTCTTCCCTTTAATTTCATCTGATGGAACCAGAAGTCGGAATAAAAGATTATGTGATCGTTTTTGGAATTAAGTAATACCAAAAATTGTTGTCGTTTTCATTGCCAGCAGTTCACAGCCTATTGAGTTTACGCAAGTGCAATGCTCATTTCCCACTTTCCTGAGGAGACATCAACTAGGATTCTAGGAAAGTAGTACGTCAGTATGCGAATTTCATGAATCTGTAGACTACATTCCATTCACTTATTACTGAAACTAAACTATGAAGGAACTGATATTTCAAAGAAGGATGTAGTACAAGGCTCATTTCTACAACTGTCGTCCTTATTTTAGTTCACTTTCATCATAAATGTATTAACCGAATTGTCTGTTACTCACTTTAGGCCCTTACCAGGGAACAGTCTTGTCAACTTTTTGTATGCTGATGGTATTGTCCACTTAGGCTGCGAGAAGTGACCATTGAAACTGGAAGATATGAAAAGACTACTGGTTTTTGATCGTAGTGTCTGTACCCTTTCTTCTGTGTTAAGTAGTCTAATATGGTGAGTAATATTGGGGTTAAGCTTAGTGTTAAGTAGAAATGTGATTTCAAACGTTGTTAATGACACAGATGCATTCACTCTGTGTAATCGCACATATCTGAGCAACCCTTATATTTTTTCCATATGACTGTTCGGTTTTCATCACATTTCTGTTCATTAGAGTTCCATTTAATTTATTTTTTCCTCTACCTTTGTGTGCTACATGGAACGTGGTAACTTAAGCGGGTGCACTTGTGTGCACGCTTCTATGTTGAAAATCAGTCTGTCAGAATGATCTATAGTCCAGGTATAGTGAAATGTTAAAACGGGGATAAAAATAGGCAAAATGTCAACAAATGGTAATCGTATTTTTCATTTAGTTCTTGTCTAACTGAAAAAGTGATCTTACAATAATTTCTCCTCTTACCCGAGATAACTCTCACACTCTGTCTCGTTATATCTCATTAGTTAGTTAATTTTATCACGTAGCCCAACTGCGAAGTTGAAACACATCTGATGAAATATGTTATGCTTATTACCAACCAAATATAATATTTTTCAAGTGTGGAACGTCACAAATCGAACTGCTACACTTCTGTGCTGAGTTCCATGTTAAAACTCAGTCAGTCAGCTTTGTCACTACAAATGCGTAGTGTCACAACTACCTAGTGTTAATTAGCTTAAACAATTATTCATGCCGTTTCCTAAGTACTCTATGCATTTCCCGATTCCTTAAACTGTCCAGATAAAGTGCACCGAAGAGGAAAACATAAACCAAAAGTCAGTAACATGGACGTAAGAAATGGTGTGAATAGAAGTGAATGAGACGAGTGACCTTTTATCCCTGTAGTACGCTTAAGTAAAATACTCATGTATATGAATGAGGCAAAAAGTTGTGTGACTGACTTGATATGATGATGAGCAATAGTTTGTGCTCAAAACGCCACCAAGTAATATTGCTCTCCAACACTGTGTGATTTACCAAAATAAAATCGTATCCATAATGGAGTTATACTCTACCACAGTGCCCAAGTTTTATGCTTATATCAAAAATACTTATCGTGTGCGTTATGTGTCTCCTAATTGTTTCATTTTTGTCTTCCTCATTGCAGGTTGTCAGTCTCCGTAGACATTCTACCAGATGTCGTCATGCATAGTGTCTGCAAGCAGTCTTTCAATACATCTACCTCCCGCAAAGTTATTGTTACGATGCCTTTAAATCATTTACATTTGGCCGTAATACAATTAGTGTGCTAATATTACTGATGCAATGACATGCAAGACTTGTACATGTTACTGTGAAGCTAGTTTGTAATAACATTCCCTCCATAGTAAATAGAATGCTTGTGATAACAATTCGTCATTATCTTTTCATTGTGTTGATAGTTGCGTATATATTAGAAAAAAGCTAACCTTGTCGTATCAGTTCTCTAAATTACAATCACTAAGTGCCCATACCTCTGCTGAATACCAAGTGCTACTCGTGGCCCATGAAATACTTATTACTGCATTCGTAAATAGCTATCAAACTGTTATTACATGGAGTATTGAGACAGAAGGCGTATGAAATTTAGATATTAGTGTGTATCTGAAGTAAACGACACAATATATATGTGCATGTTTCATTTCAAAACTAGAGAATTTTATAGGGTAATGTAGGAGTGAGCGCAATGAGTTAATAATGTATTCTTTACTGCATCCATCTTGTATGAGTGGAATGCTTCTATTCAATTTTCGGCGAAGCTTCAATATCACCCTACAGGGTTTCTTCAATGCACTCTCATAAGGAATAATACTTGGCACTGAGGAATCCAGCCAAAAGCATTTGTGACACAGTCGAATGACTTTTTCAACTAAAAGCGGTAATACTGATATTAGGTGTGATTTATCTGTAAACTGAGGGACTCTGGTGTAACACAGCACCATATCCCAGCAGGGTATTGTTTGTGTTTTACAGGTACAAGTAGAATTCATGGACTGAGCATTTGTTAAATATGGAGGCGACCCATTGAGTCACTTACACGAAAGGCTGATGAAATGCGATACCTTACACACGCACTTTCAGATGTAGGCATGTGTTACTCCACATGAACTCTGGGCCATATCGAGTAGGCATTCCTTTAAATCTACTCTACCCTGTGCGCTTAATTATTGTTCGTATATGTGATGACTTGGTGCGTTTCCTAGTTTGCCTATAATTACGGAATGTACATTATATTAACGAACACAAATAAATTTTGTGAAAACCAGTGGTGTTCCTTCTCTAGTCTCAATTGATGTCACATTGATTGACACGATTAAAGGAATAGATTGTAACGTGGTGTTTTCTGTAGCTGCGAAACGTAGATACCTAGTTTCGAATTGACATCATCCGTCTGATCCTATTAACCTATGGGTATGGTTCATCCTTCATGATAAAACTAGAACTCAGAAGTAGACTGTCTTTGACAGATCTAGTTTTACGATGTGACTAATTGGTGAGTCACCTGGTGTTGTGGTAGCAAAAAAATAACTCCAAACCTTAGTATTTTCTAGATATGAACAGATTTACTTACTTTGGCGACAATTTAATCTTAGGGATATTAACCTTTACTTAGTAATTTGGATCCGAAAGTAAACGCCATGTTACTAAGTTATTCAAAAGACAGAATGATGAGTGAAACAGTACTCGGATACTTATTCTAACGAAATCGAATAATGATTATCGTTTAGCCTACCAATATGCCGCTTACTTTCAGTCTTAATTCAAAGACAAATTTAATTGCCCAATAAATTAATAGTTTCAGAAGACTGCTCTACTCCTGTCTTTGAAATACTTTACCCGATCGTGTTTTACTTCAAAATAAGTGTATACTGGCCAGCTGATGTTGCTTATCCAGTTACACTGTTTTTCAGTTACAATGTCCCATCTATTTCCTATCAAACACAACATCCCTTAAACCATCAACGAGTAAACATCATTTCTAAAAAAATAACCTTAACTATTCGCATGTAAACGATGCTATAAACTTTATCACTTACGTGATGTTTCAAATTCCGATTAATCAGTTTTCCCTTACATGAGCACCTGTTTCAATTTTAACGGATAGTTCTAACCTTTGACTACTGAATTAGTACGTTTCATTATGTACCATCCATACGAAATATAGGTACTGATAATAATTACTGCTAACAGATTTATCACGAGAATGTACTCCATATTGACGACAATATTCCTCAGGGGCGGACGTATTTTCTAAACGCGCTACTCAATACAACACATGACCCTAACCCCATAACTCTGTAGCTCACAACATTCTATGAAGTTAGTAGTGACTATTAACAAGTAGAATGTCTATTTGAGGTATAGAGAATACATTTATTAGTGATTCGACACAAAATACAAAATCAACGGTACTGGAAACCACTTCCTTCAGCAATGAATCCCACGAGGTCACTGGAACTACAGATTATCTAAAAAAGAAAACAAGGGTTCACAGGGTGCATACATGAATATAACTACCAATATAATATTAACGAGACAGCACAGTAAAAATTAATGAAAGTTTATATCAATGTGCGATTACATCAGTCACTATTTTTGACACAAGTGGATATTTAGACGAAGTAATGAGAAGACGTAATTTGTCCGAGTCGTGTAGTGTTGTATTTGTGCAACACATTTTAGACAATCTGGTCACGCATGGACTTGTTATAGGAATACATATGAAATTAATACAGTTAAAAGTTTGGAAAATAAATTTAGGTGGAATTAAAACCACATATTGAAGGTCAAAATAACAATGAAGATTACTAAACCAAATATCTGAGGGACTAGTACATCTACCCTGACTAGTTTCAAAACAAAGTTTAACAAAGGTTTCGTGTGATGACGAATAGTCTTGGAATTCACAAAAGTGGTTTAAACTTCCTAATCACACTTCGGTTCCCACAAACTTTAGAATGCAATCCAAACACGTTTTACAGATAGGTTTAAAGAATGTGCAAACGCCAGTTTTATGACCTGTCCCTATAATATGTTTCGAAATAGAGGAGCTGGGACCCCATTAATAACTTCTGAAGATTCTGTTGCTTCTGGAGGCATTTAGGAATATGATGCGTAGCCCTTACTTGCAAAAATCGATGAGCCTTCCCTAAATGGATATAGCAACCACTTCTAAACCTTACGTCCATAGCTTTAAGAGATGTCGGACACTACTTCTACGTGGTTTTAAAATAATTTGGTGAATTAACTTCGAACAAGCGCGAATGTGGCGTCAGGACAATGACAAAAATCGGAAGTTTATGAAACCAAACTCACTAGTAGGAAAAAGTGACGCACACGTCAGATGTCTTTACGTACCTGATCACGAGGATGGTATTGAAATCCACCAAATTACTAAAATGTTGCAGTGTGCATTTAACTCACTTAAAAACTTCGGCAGAAAACAGTGAATGTTATAAGTGATCGTAAAACATATTGCAATTTCTGCCCATTTGTGAACACTAATTTTCGCTTGTATCTATGCATTCTATTGACTTTCCTCTATCAAAACAACACACAGAAGTGCGGGAGGATGCAGGAATTCGATATCAACCATATTCTTTGGTTCCTGCAGCAGTAATAGGTACTGCACAATAGCTGATAGGGAAATTTGAGATCGAGTACAAGTTTCCGCCAATCTGCAAAGAAATTTATCGAATGACAGTCGTTGAAATGTACGCGAAGCTTACTCGGTATGCCAAAAATCACTGCATGAACCATGTATTTAAGCGTCCTGTCACACAAGCAATCAGCAAATGCTCAAGAACAATATCGAACAATAATTTTCATATAAATTCATCCAACAAGAGCAAAATAAGCAGCGAAATAGCGTCTACTACGTTTGCTGGACGACTAGCCACAACTCGAATCAACGAAACCGCGCAAATGCCGTCAAGGTTAAGCCAAAGGCGCCACTTCAAACAGGGGATATGCTTTATCAACGCCCGAAACAACTTCAGAAGTAATTACGACGAAAATTTTAACAAAATTATGCAATAACAACAAGGTACGAAAACAACGAGTAAACACAATGAATCCAAAATACACCAATTGATATGACACACCACACGTATATACAAACAGTACACACAAACTCGCATTTCATGTCTTGATGGAATACCCTTGAAGAATTGCAGGACATACACCAGTACGCCTACAAACCTTCACAGGTTGACCATTGTAACTTGTGGAATATCCGGACACAAACAGAATTACCAACAGCTAGATGACAGATGATATCAATTCAGTATATACAATATGAACATATGTACAAAATCACACACCGAGCACATTAGACTGCTCATTGATGCGCTACCCTTTGAAGAATTGTAGGACTTACAGCAGTATGCCTACAACCATTCTCAGGTTGACGCTCTAGGTTAGAAAATCATCTATTGTTTCATCCTCCGACTCTCTACTCTCAGCACCTTCCAGGAGACACAGTTTTCTGATATCTCGCACCAACATGCCACAACTAGTTCTCACCTCAACCGTCCTCACCAATCCATCACCACTACAGATCAGCCTTACTACCACTCCCAAAGGCCACCTACCTGTGGCACATTTATCTGCTACTAATACTATGTCACCAACCTTTAAGTTTCGGCACAACCTTTTCCACTTGTCCCTGGTCTGCAATGTTAGAACATACTCCTTAAACCATCTTTTCTTTGCAGCCGCGTAGGTAGGCGTCTTGCAATTACCTCTGGGACTGAGCTGGAGTTGAGGTCACCCATGAAATTCATAGAAATCAAGGTATTCTTGTAAGTCATAAGATTGTCTAAAAACTCAGTGAGTGCCTTGGAGTCATCTTGAAGTTGACTGCCATTACCTTGACAGCTTCGTATACGTTCCTTACGATCATCGAAGGTCTTCCAAACCTTTGACGTAATATGCTCATAGCCTCATCGTAGCCCTCTTTTGGCTTCATAAACTTACAGCACTGTATAGCTCTTGCAGCATCTCCAGTGCAATATCTCATCAAATACATCAATTTCAATTCATCACTTAATAAAAAACTACTCAGCATGATCTCAAACTCCTTAACAAACTGTAAATAATCGGCCGGGTTTCCATCAAAACACCGTGGTTCAAACTTAGGGAGTTTGATGTTCCTATTATCCCTGAACGGCGAAACAGTAACATCAACCATGTCATCTTAACATCAGACACATCGTTACAATTAACAGACAAGTCACCATGACTTACTTTCCTGTTTGTATCCAAGACACTCTGTCCCTTCTTTGACCCAGGCATTGTTGAACTTGACCCAATTCCAAAAAAGTTCCAGATATTGCTTGTTCAAAGAGGACTTGACCGGCACCAGGAAA